TCCTAACTTGAGCCACCCGGTTTTGAAGCCAGAGAAGGCGCTCTGTTCAATCTGCAATAGCCTTATCCAGCCATGGAATTCTGAAGTGTTCCCCCTTAGAGTCCATTAAAAAACAAAAAAATCAAAAACAAAAAAAGAGGGGTGCCTGGGTAGCTCAATAGGTTTTAGGTCATGATCTTGCATGGGTTCAAGGCCCGTGTTGGGCTCCGTGCCGACAGCCTGGAGCCTGCTTCAGATTGTCTCCTCCTCTCTGTCCCTCCCATGCTCATGCTCTCTCAAAAATAAACATTAAAAAATATATATATAAATTGTGCCTTTTTCTCTATTAGGTTGATAGTTAACAAGGCAACTGGGTGGCTCAGTTAAGTGTTCGACTTCAGCTCACGTCATGATTTCATGATTCATGGGTTCAAGTCCCACATCAAACTCTGCACTGATAGTGTGGAGCCCGCTTGGGATTCCCTCTTTCCCTACCTCTCTGCCCATCCCCAACTTGCGCTCTCAAAAATTTATTTAAAAGGCCCCCAAAATTTACCAGTCCTTGCCTATAAAATGCCACACACACCAATGTTGCTCACATTCGAGTTAAAACCAGGGTGATGTCAAGACTAGGACACTGGAGTAGCCACAGCAACTAGCCATAGCTTCAAGTCACTCACAAGATTAATAATCAACTTAAGACACAACATCAGTGTCAACCTATTCACAACAGAACAGCTTGTCTTCCACAGACGAGGACACCATGGACATTCAGTGGTCCTTTGCAAGTAATCTTACCTGTTTGTGGCACCTGCCCACACAATGGCCTGTGCTGTGTATTTAGTATGTACAGCTCAGATATGTGGGCTTCAGGCATGTAAAAAGGAAAAAGCTGGACACATAGTATTTCTTGCTGTGTAACTTTCTGATCATGGGGCGCCTGGGTGGCTTGGTTGGTTGAGCGCCTGACTCTAGACTTTGGCTCAGGTCCCATCTGGCTCCTGAGATCAAGCCCTGCACCCAGCTCTGTGTGGACAGCATGGAGGCTGCTTGTGATTCCATTCCTCCCCTGCTCATGCTCTGTTCCTCTCAAAATTAAGTACCTGTTCATCACATATACCTTTCTGGAGGGGCGGGGAACCTTTTAACAAGTTACCTCTAAAAAAACCCTGGAGATCATGTACAATTTACACTTTTTACCATGAGTATGTTCTACAATTAAAAAGAGAGGCCCCAGGGGCCCCTGGGTGGCTCAGTTAAGCAGGACTCTTTGAGGCTCGCGTCATCTCACAGTTCATGAGTTTAAGCCCCACCATCAGGCTCCATGCTACAGTGCTGGGCCTGCTTGGAATTCCCTGCCCCTCTCCTGTGCTCTCTCAAAAATAAAGAGACGCCCCAAATCCTGACAATCATTGAATGACAATGAAATGGCCATCTTATGAAGGGGCTGAGAAAGCTAAAGTGCAGAACAGAATACAAGGGCTTTCAAGTCAAGGCCGGCCTGGGTTATAAATACACTACTTGTTTAGTAGAATGAGGAATGACATGTGAGGAACTTCTTCCCTAACAGTGGTATTCACTTCTCAAGTGGTTCAACATTACAGGAGAAAAAGGCCTTGCATAAGGTTTAGCAGATCAGTACTCAAAACACTTCCTTTCCTGACACACATCCTCCCTGAAGCGCCCAGCACTCTAAGGCAGCTGTCAAAGCTTCGGTTCTAGCCCCTTCCAAATGATCGGTGTTCATCCACTCCTTACTACCCTCTTAAGAGGTCAGCATCTGATCCAAACCTCACTTCTGGGGAGCCAGTTTCATGTCCAGTGGACGGTTACATACATTGCCAATTGAAGTCCAACCAGGACTGCTGCTCAATTTCTTGTCCCCATAGAACCCGACAGCTGGAATGCAGGAGCCAGCCATTAATGGAGTCAGACACTCCCCAACTTCTGGGGGTCCTGCCAGGACCATGTTGCACGTTATTTTACACCTGTTTATTTGGCAGTGCAAATGAAGGAAAAGTCAAAATTCCTGACTTGAAACTACTTCCAATTTATGGATATAGAATTCCTTACCTCCAAACCCTACCTACTGCAATTTGCACACTCCACTGCTTACTCCAACTTCTACTTTATGATGAAGGTACTCATTTCTTCACCTGATTCCTTATAGCCCTTGCTTATCACTGAGCTCTACCTTTAGTCCCCCTAACACCTTGCCATCTGACCCAACTCACTTGTTTTCTTCTGTTGCTAAGGGACTTTACAAAGATCCCTCAATTGCACCTCACTCCATGTCCAAAAGCCTTTCTCTTAAGGCCACATGAAGCCCTACACCAACAACTCTTTAAATCATTCTAACCTAAAACGGGTGAAACACCAAGAAGTTAGTGAAGCTTAGGTCTTACACTCTTGAACTAGGTCAAACAAATACTACTTTCTAGATATTGAACTGCTATGTGCATTCCGGTACCCAATTCTACTAAGTCCCAGGGTCTTGGACTACCAGAGGAGAAAAGTAGGACACAGGAACAATTAAATGACAAATTAACATTGCAGTTTGTAATTATTTGTAAAGCACTCTTGCTGAAATTTAAGTTTTTAATCTATAAAGAAATCCTGGAGGCAGAGAGCCAGCTGGAATGGGTGGAGTCACAGCTGCTTAAGCTTCAAACGATTTAAAAGTTGTTTTGAGGGAGTTATTCAAAAACTGTTAACTATCAAAAGGTAGCTTTTTATACTGATTTCCTTTTCCAAGTGACAACGCACATAAAAGAGCAGCTTTAAGCACTTCCCCCCACCCTTGGCTTTGATTTGCAGTTTGGGTGGTAAACCACCACCCTTGAAAGGATGCAGACTTGCCCCATACAAAACCTGAAAGATACATACTGAAATAAAGATGCCACTTACAAGTGAACAGGATTTTAAAAGGAAGGAGTTAGGGGTAACCTGGCTGGCTCAGTGGGTAGAGAGGACTTGGCTTGAAGTCATGAGTTTGAGCCCCGTATCAGGCAGCGATTACTTAAAAAATAAGGGAAAAGTCACCTATGTACTTTTTTTCTGGAAAGCTCAACTGTGCTCTGGAAATAGTGGCATATTCTCCATATAAGAACCTTTCCAAGTGCCTAGGAACAAAGTTACAAAGATTTCCACAAAGTTTCACTTCCTGAAGACTAAGTACATCCCTGTACTAAGGTGTAGCAAGGGCACTAATGACCCCATTCTAAGACTTCAGTAAAACAATCGTTAATACACAAGGTGTTATGTAGGTCACAAAGAATGGAGGAAAAACGAAGGATAGTATCATAACACATGTATTTCATGTTGTTAGTTTGGGAAACTTGTTGGCTGTTGTGTTCTGAATAGTCAAGAACTGGGATATTAAAGGAGTCTAAAAACAGCCATGAATTTCTGCAACCCCAATAAAAACAAATCAAGCAGTGATAAGGTTTATCAAAAGAAATTTTCAAAGAGAACCTCAAGTGTGCTGTACAACTGAGTTCTTTAAGTATCCAAGGAATCTTTAATAAGATGAAGAAAATTTGTGTGGAAACTGAATTCAACACTATCAGTTGTTTTGATAAAAATATACTCCAACCCAGTTTTCTTCAGCTACTTTAATTATAAAAGACTTTTGTTCTCAAAAAAAAAAAAGAAGAAAAAGCCAGAAACCAAGTCTAGTACAAAAATATACAACTGGAAGACATTACCACCAACTAGATCTGTCAACTAAATCATGTTGAGGATTCTGAAAATAAAAACAAAGTACTAAGCCAGTGGTTTTATTTAATCAGGGATGTTTATCACCTAAAACTCTTCAGATTACACAGTGCTTTATTGCTATAAAAAAGTAAATGAGCCTGGAATCAGGCTGTGTATATTTTGAAAAACTTCTGTGATCGACATCATTCCTGATAAAGCTCTGTACTAATATGAACCATATTAAGAAAAACCAACCAGGACTTCTCATCCAGATACAGGGAGTCTAATGAAAAGAGGAGATGCCGTCTAATGATCACACCTTTGTCAGGAAATATTCAAAGTACATAAACAGTAGAGAAGAGGTATCTTACAATCTGATAAAATTCAAATTCCTCTATTCATCTTCACCTTTCTGCTTAAGACATGAAGGTCTGAAGTAACCCACAATGAAGTGAGAACTATTATTATTCTGAAAAAGCATAAAAAAACTGCAATCCTGGTTTCCTTAAGTTAATCACCCAGGATTAGCAGTGGCCTCTAGTGAACACCTATAGTCACCACACCAGAGATCAATTTTTGTCACTGACCTCTTGCAGTAAAAAACTCTAGGACCCAGGACAAAATTGGCTAATGAAACTCAACAATTGATGAAATTACAGTAGCCATAACTTTTAATGGCCACAGTTAAATGTGCAATGTAAGGTTTTAACAGTTTCTATCCTCCATATTTCTTGTCACAAGCCCTAAAACTGTTGGGACTTCTGGTTAACGTGACTGCAAATTTGGCCTAGAAGTCAGGATAACTCCCTGAGACCAACTTTATCTTAGGTTCTGTATTTGTTATGAGCCACATTATATCCATAACCTATCTCCTTTTAACAGAAACCCAATTTAAGACTTTGCAAGTTGTATACTTGCCAAAAACGTCCGTATCCATGTCCGATGTTACTGACATACCATTATTACCTCCATGACCTCTTAGTATCTTTCCTTGTTCTGATCAAGAAGTTTTAAAAAGCTAGTAGGAAAATGCCGAAGACAAAAGGCCCAAAGCCAGACTCCCAGTACATCAGCAGTCTTAAGTATCTTCTCTAAGGCTTATCCAGAATCTGAATTCTACCTTGTGACACCAATCTTCCTTCATCTGTATCTGCATGAAAGGTTAATAAGGACCACTGGAAATAAGATGTTTAGGCTTTATACCTCAAAGTACCTTTATAGACTGAACTCAATGCAGTGACTTCTTTCAAATTAAAGAAAGTCAGTATAGCATAATCCAAAACTATCTGTAAGTAGCACATTTAAGGAAACTAAGCCACAAAGACTGTTGCATTATGATTTAATCTAATCGCACAAAAATTTAAAATTACAACTCCTCTGGATTTCTAAGAGGAAGGTTATGCATGCCTCCATATTCAGTTCTGCACTGTTACATTAGAACCATATAGTGAATTTTACATCATGATGGATCAATTTAGAATTTCCATGCAACACCTCGAATTATATAAAATGGAAGCGATTTTAAAGCTTTGTGGAAAGGTCTCATGCTAATGATAAAGCCTTTTTTATAGGCCACTTTGGGTTATAATGTACCAGGTTGCTATACTTTAAAATGTTGGTCACGAAGTATCGTGGTCTTTGAACTGGCTCCTACTCCTAAAAAAGGTTCCCTACAGCCTCAATTGTTTTCTTCTAAGATTTGTGTAACCCACGGATTTCCATGGACAAGAACTATGGTAATAGTGGGTTCGACTATTAAACAATTATGCTAATATTTTATTAATTCAAAAAGCACTTTACAAGAAAATATAAGTATGGCTTCCAATAGGAATGTTATACCTGGACTTGATACCAAGCTCACAGATTTTAATTTTGCAAGGAAAAACAGGCTTACAATTTGTAACCAAAACTTTAATCCCAAGGATTCTCACAAACATATTACAAATGACAGCATGAAAAAAAATCTTGCACAGTAACTCAAGGTTCAGCTCTACAATGTACCCTTAAACTGCCAGGATTTTGAATAGTTTCGAATTTCCAAAGAGAGAAGGCTTACAAAGAGCTGTGTGTTCATATACAGCTATTGTGTTAAGAACGAACTTATGACCTAAAACAAAAATAAAACGGTCTTGAAACTTCCAATTCTACACCAACTGGACCACCTCTGCCCAGTACGAAGACTAGTTGGACTTTTCTTTTAAACCTCTAACCTAATTAACAGTGCAGCTTAATTTTTACCTGCTGGCTTGTGTTCACAGCAGCTCTTAAAGACTGCTTGTTCAATTACAACTGCACACACACTGTTATCTCAGCGACGGAAAAACTCTTCGTTCAATTTTTGCCGGTTTTGTCTTCATAATATGAAATGTCAAGCTTTAGCTGGGCAGGAGTTAATAAGAGGTTTATTATCAGTGTATTTAAGACTAAACTTCAAAGCAAATTCAATTTTGCTTAAGGGAACATTGTAAAGTAACAATTCTTAATATTACATGCCTCATATGATCCATTCAAATCATAGAGAATTACATCTTTATGTGTCACTGTTCAAAGACAAACAAATGTGAACAGCTAAAACATCTTAAAAATGCACCAAGCTTATGAAGTCTCAAACAAAACTTGAATTTTCTGTACATACTCCTGTCAAATGAAGTTATTTCCTGTACACCACTCCTCTTGCAAACTGGTCTTCTATTTCCTTTCATTTGACCTAGATCGGCTAAAAGAAAGAAAACCAAAAATTACATACGTAACTCAGTGACACAACTTGAAAGTTTTTATGGCAAAAACAAGAATAATCAAAACGGCTTAAGAAGATCACCTTCTGTTTTTAGTACGACTTTTTAATCAATGATCAAATCATCAAAGATCTTACCTACGAGACCTAGAAAAGGATCGGGACGGCTTGTGATTTCTCTCCCGAGACAGTGATCTCTCTCTCCTCCTATCTCTAGAAAGGGACCTATAACCAGAAGAAAAAAAAAAATCGGGCCATTCAGAATTATACACAACAAATATCCTAAGTCGTCTTCAAAAACTAAAAGCTGGTTCATTCATACAACTTATTAACAATGGCTCTATATGCTACTTGATTCAATACTAAAGCCAGTCTTCTTCTATTAACCACATCATTTGGAAAGCAGCTTAGGAAAAGCAGAAACATGGTTTTCTGAAAACGTGGCCAAGAAAGTAGTTATTTACCTGCTCCGGCTACGGGAGAAGCTTCTCCGTCTTGGAGATCTAAAAGCAGAAATAGGAAGATTAGGCTAATTGTCAATTAGTATTTATGGCGTGAGGCATTTCCCAACTTTTCAATTTCACTGTTGGGCCCAGTGAATGTGCCGGAAGAACTGGCACCCATCGTCCAAAAACAAAACAAAACCAATAAAACAAAACAAAACAAACGAAAAAAAAACAGGAAAAAAAAAACCAGAAAAGAAAAAAAGGCACAGAAGGATTAAGGAACCAAAAGCTCAAGTGAAAAGCAGGTATTCCAACCATGGATTCACTTTAACAAAGAATGCTTCACAGCAGATCTGTCCAATGCAAAACCTCATGTCAAACTAACTTCACTACCCAAACACCACACCAAAATAATAGTCCCACAAGTAGTTCCAAAAACAGTACCATAAACCAGTATTTGGAACCCATGCAAACCTATAAGTCCATGACAAGACTTAGGTACCAGGTGGATAGTGTAATTTGGTGAAAACGCGCTAGGTGTAAATACTGATGCCATTAAGTGCTACATTAGAACTGCATTTGTGATCGTCACATTAAAGAGTGTGTTTAGGCTTATAAAAATTACCTTAGCTTGGCCCACTTTACCCCCAAAATTTAAAATTTGAAAACTGTTAGTAAAACCATTTAAAGGTGATAGGATTCAACAAATTTTGCTAGAAAAGAAAGCTAAATCTGTTAGGAGTTATTAAAATTTTTTAGTTTGGCATCTCACACATGCAAATAAGTTTCACCTGAAGGTCTAGTTACATTATGAGTTCCCTATCACCCTTAAAAGTTTTATTCAAGCAATATATATGTACGTTACCATTCAATTATGCACAGCCAGCCTTTGATCCAGAAAAAAGAATTACTTTAAGCCGCTTACTCCTTATTTTAACCAGCAGTAAACTGTATAAGCAGGAAAAACTTACTAGTTTTGGGTTTCAACAAGCTAGAAATGGTGAGGTGAGGCTGCCGGACTGACGGCCAGGAAGAATTTGCTGAAAAGGTTTTGCCAGATGTTGCGTTGGATTTAGTTGGTTGGCGAAGGGGGTGTTGTGGATTTTTCCTGCTTTTTTGTTAGCCGAAGGCTGCTGCTGTAGTTGTTGTGAAGACATTTGGTAAATAAACAGCTGAGCTGATTGGCCAGGAATGTGTGGGCGGTCGAGGTGGCTGCTGCCGATTTGGTTAAGGTTGGAGAGAAGGCTGAGAGAAAACAGCATGCTCGGGAACCAAAGGGCGGTGCAACCTGACGACTGGCCATGCCTGGGTCATGTGAAACGACACCAGCCAAGCTGAATGGGGCGCGCTGGTCACATGACGCTGAAAGGGCTAGTTGACTGGCTAATGCAGACTCAGAGGGTGGTGAGAAGAGACATGATGGTGACTCTGTAACGGGGTTCATTTTTATTAATAGATGGACCAAAAAGCACAAAAAAAAAATGAAAAACAAGCCATCAGTACAACCATCTATTTAGCTAACAAATACTCTTTATTATGATGGGCAACAGTGTGTTGTTTTGTTTTTCAAAATAGCAAAAGGGGCAAGATTTTGAACTCCTATCTCCTAGAAGGACTTCACTCACCTGTAAGAGGTAAATTCAGTCCTATAGAAACTATTTTGGAGGTTTGCGGAGATGTGGAGTTAGTATCCAGACAATACTGCCTGGTCCAAGAATGATGCCATTTTCAATTATAAAAAAACTGAAATCTCTCCTATTTGGTTTTGAAGAACAGATGACTGGGATTACTTTTTTTAGCCCCCTTTATCGGTCAGTGACTTAAGCTAGTTTCAGAATGATTTCTACTTTACCAGTTTTAACATTACAACAGCTGCCTGTTTGATAAATACTACAATCGTGCTAATAGTAGAAAACACATTTTTGTGAAGAGCTAGAGTTGAATGTAATGTTTGTCATTATGGAGTCAAGAAATGGAAAAAGGCCTAAATTGAAGTATAAGGGAAGACTTGGAAAGATGCAACTAGAAGATGAACTAGAAGATAGATCCAAGATAGACGTTACTGACTACCGACATGAACAGGGACCTAAAGACAAAAGCCAACACTCAGCACAACTCACATACCCCAAACTACACCCAGCAAATGTTTCATAAAAACCTCTGATTCTTCAAAGTTTAAAACCCACCAACAAACTTTGAGAGAAATACCTGCTCCTATTAGCTACTCCATTACACCAATACCTCTAAACACGCTCTCAAGTACCTGCGACGAGGTGGAGGACTCCTTCTCCGATAATCATCTCGAGGGCGACGACCCCAAGAAGGAGGTGGACCACGATTTCTACTTCTCTTTTCACCATTCGAGAGTTCCACTCTGACTCGGCAGCCACATAGTGTTCTAAAGGAAAAAACATTACTAAATTTCAAAGAGCCACAGTAAGTATATTAAAGCAAAAAGAAAGCACTCCTACTTAGCCTTTTTTGCAAAGTACACACTTGAATGTCCATAGACTCCTTTATAGCAAAAGGTTTTTCTAATAAAGAAAACCAACTTCCTTATGCTTCGTTAAGAGTCTAATCACTGGGCTCAATGTTAATTTGTTAAGTTACAAAATGTGAAAACCTCAGGGTTCATCCTCAAAGAACCAGTTCATCTGTACATTCTGGGGACTTCAAGGTCCCAGCAATTGCTTACAGATCTTGATCTTACTACTCTGTACTTCTTGGTCTTTCTCCTCCCCACACAACCCCAATTCTCTATGCCAACGGCAGCAAACAGAAGCATTCTGGCCATTTAACATCACCATCTCCCCTCAATCATCACACCATAGCTAACACATTAAGAAACTGCATTTGAGAATAGTCGGAAAAAAGTTATCCTCCGCCTCTTCATCGTTCCACTTCCGTTTAGATAAACCATCATTATTTGGACAGTGATTGGGAAGAGGTGCGGACCTGGAAAAATGTGGTTTCTACAATCTGCTTGGATAAATGACCTTCTATACAGCATTACAGCCAACCCTCAGACCCCTTAACTTTTGGATCTTAAAGATTAACCATTTCCCTGGTTTCCTGAAATCCAGTTGTTTTCCAACAAGCAGGGAGGAGAGAGAGAAGGGCAGCATGTGATCACTCTCAGGACTCTCCTGTTACTTATCAACCATTAATGTGACACTGTAAACACACACAAATAGCTACACATTCCACACTTCCTAAATATTTCAAACATGTAAAACATAATGGTACAATAAAGCCCAGGCAGCCATTATCCAACTACAATAATCAGTATGTGGCCATTCTTACTTGAAAAGATAGCTGATTTCACAATTGTTTCAGAGAACAATTCAAAAGTGACACCACAGGTGACACTTTGTGGAAAGTTTAGATTAAATGCTTCAACCACATTTTGGATGCAAAAATCCACTAAGAGTAGACAATTCAACTTATTTTCTTCAGTGGCCACTTGAACAAAAAGTATTTCCTACCAATCTCCAATAAAACATTCTTTTTTCTTTGCAGAAAAAGCTTATGTTAAGTCTCTAGTTACAGTAACTTCAGATAGCCATGAAGCCACATAGCCTAAGTCACATAGCCTAAGAATCTTAAATATTAAAAAGCACAAGCAACATTATTTATCATCAGCATCAGTCGTTAAATTACCTCCCATCTAGCTCTCGGACAGCATCAGCTGCATCTCGGGGATCTTCAAATTCAACAAAAGCAAAGCCGGGAGGGTTTCTGGCAACCCACACACTTCTGAGTGGTCCATAATAGCCAAAGGCTCGTTCCAGTTCAGTCTTGTTACCATTGTTTCCCAGATTACCTACGTACACCTTACAGTCCAATGGACAGGAATCACGATGCATTTCTGTAATTAAAAAAATATATACCCCAAATGTTAATCATTTACCCGGTAATCTACACAATGTAAAACAGATCCTTAGAAAACTGCAATACTAAAAACCAATTACCCTTGAAGCACTCATTCCTAACTTGTACTTCTAACTACCAGGATGCCAACACAAACTACATTAAGAAAAAAAAAAAAAAAAACCTTGAAAAATTGCGGGGGGTGGGGGTGGGAAGCACTGAGGGAGCATTTACTACAATCTGGGGACTGTTAGTAACTTTACCAAATTACTACAATATCAAAGACAAAAATACTTAGAAAGTAGAGTAACTTGTGCAGAAGCAAATCCTACAGACATAACCAAATCGAACATTACTTAATAGTTAAGGCTAAGCCACTAGAAAAGGGATATTAATGTGCCTTCATAAGCAAAAACTTAGCCCGTTTCATTCCTCGAGTGTTAGGAATCCAGACACAAAAGTGCACACATTCCAATTCTATGTATATAAAATATCCAACAGGTAAGTCCAGAGGCAGATTAGTGGTTACCAGGGGCTAGGTGAGCGGGCAGGGGAAATGAGTAACAGCTGCTTAATGGGTATAGTTCTCTTTACGGGGTAACAAAATTGTTTTCTAACTAGACAGATATGAGGGGTGCACAGCACTGGGAATGTACTAAATACCACTTAATCTCACACTTTAAAAGGAAGTTCATGTTAATTTCGGGGGCGGGGGATTTCTTAGTGCAAAAATTTACTGCATTTTAGGGGCTTATATTTGATAAGCCTTCAATTACAAGTCACTCCCACAACGAATCTGATGAACCTGTAGGACAGATTCCATTGTAAAGAGCAGAGAATCCAATAACTCAACTTAAGGGCTTCTCATAAACACCACGTTCTTCCCGCTCTGGGCTATCCAAGTAAAAAAAAACCAAAAACGAGTCCAGACACATCCTATTTGCATGACCCCACCCTTGACCCCACCCTTGTCCCCACGAGTGCCGAGACCAAACCATTGCTGGAGATTAGTTTTTTAAAAACTTAGCTGTGAGCAGTTTCAGGAGTAAAGTATCAAAAGCAGTAAACAGCTACAAGAATAATGCGGGTCTAGGAAGACCAATCGGTTTAAAAAAAAAAAACTCGGTAAAATGTAAACGTCAAATTCAAATACGATGTAAATATAGGTTACTACACAAACCACGTAATATGGGTTGAAAGGTCCAGTCCTGACTACTGACTTAAGAAAAAAATTCCTGAGCTTCCGAAGAAAACGTGAGGGGGGGGGGGGGAGATGGCGCCATAAATTGAAAGGCCGCGGCGCGGAGTACAATTTGGTTACCGGCAACCCCCTGGCCCCAACTTTCGGGTTATCCCACTTCTCAGCTCACCACCACCACCCACTTCCCCCTCGCACAGGGTAAGATCATAAACACCCCCACTTCGAGACCGAGGTCCATTCTCTGATGGGCCAGGAGCCCCCGCCACCGCCCCATGCTGAACGTCACAAAATGGCGGCGGCGCCTCTTTGTCTCAAGCTGGCGCCATTGGGCCTGGCCCCACCGCGATCCTGTTAAGTGCCGTTTCCCACTACACTCCGTTAGCCGCTGGTCTCTTACCGAAATCTGGGGTTAGAATGCGGACGCCCAAATCCACACACCCTCGGATGGGTCTTCCCGCTTCCCGCTCCCCTCCTCCCCGACTCCCACAGATGCTCTCGCTGACCTGGCGTCCACGAAATGGCGGACCACCGCCTTCTCCTCGCCCTTATTTATAGGCCATGCTGAAGTCACGTGACTGGAAGGGCTCGCCCAATGAGAGGCGGAGGAGGCTGTGACGTAGCTGCCAGCGGCGCAACGAGAATCGCGGTTGCTGGGAGCGCGCTCTGGCGGTGCCGCCTAGTCCGGGGAGACTTAGCTGCCGCGCTCCGGTCGCCTCAGGCTTGGGCTTCCTCGGGTGTTCCTGGCGGCCGACCTCCAAGTTACCCTCAATCCCCTCTCCCTGGTCTCCAGATAGGCTGGGGTTTCGTAACACCACTGCCGTTACTCCCAAACACTGGTAGAGCCATTTGCACCAAATAAGTAAGATTTAGATATTTAAATGAATTCATTACTTAATCGTCGAGAACGGTTAGACTGGAACTAAAAGCATCGCGTTTGCAGACAGGCTTCAGAGTTGCTCCCAAGGTCACTAGCTCGGTGTGTGTGACCCAACTCCCACCAAATTGTGCCCGCCCACGCCCCACACTGCAAAAGTGTGGATCTTGGAAAGTCGGCCCAACTCTGGCGGGTTTCCCGCCACTCACCCAAACTGCAGGATTTGGCAGAGAAGGGTGGCGTCCTCCTCCCGGACTGTTCAAAGGTTTCATACAAACTCAAACGCAAATGAAACTGGCCAGGCCATCTGGACGCTCACCTTTAGCCAATAACAGTAAAAAGAAGTTCCAGAAGAAGAATTCGTTTGAGTTCTGGACCCCCAAACAAATGTCAGGAAGGGTACCTATGGCCTTTCTCCTGGAAAAGCCGGCCTGCGTATTGACTTGGGGGTGGGGCTGGGGTTCCTGGACTCCTCACACCTCCCTCTGTTTATCACTTCCCTCTAGGAAAACAGCCACAAGAATAATTCACTACTGGGAGAGAAATAGCGCAGTCGTGCTCGAAGGATCGCTAACATCTGTCTGGAACAGTGAGTCAAGCTACGAAGTTTGTTTGGTGCCGCAAAACCTACTCCCCCCCCCCCCCCCCCCCGGGCTGACTTCTTAAAATTGAAATCGGCTTTCAAGACAAAATTGATAGCTTGTATTTACCGTCACAAAACTGAAAAAGATGTGCCGGTATTTACTTATCACTCCCAGATATTTTCTTTCGAAGCCTTATCTCGCGGCTCTAAAGGGTTTATCCCTGGGCGGGGAATACAAAGATTTCATCGCTCTTGAGCCTTCGTTTTCTCACCGTAAAATATGAATTTCATACTGCAGGGAAAGAGGAGGAACGGGTCTGGAGCCAGGGCCTGTGCTGGCCTTACCTGGGGTGTTTCCCAGGTGAAGGGAGATTCTAGGAAACCCTTTCAGTTTCTCTTCTTACTTTTCTTTCCTTCTGGAAATGTTTTTTTCTCTCCTGGCTCACTTCTGTTGCCTCCATTCGATCCCCTCCTCTGGGTAAGCGTTTGTCCTGTTATAAATTTTATTTTCTTCTGCCAAAGCAAAGGCTTTGCAGTGAGACAGTCCTGAATCTGGACTATCAAAGTCCCACGACCACTTACAGCTAACATGTCCTGAGAATCCTTTACTTTGTCTCAGGATTAGTTCCTTCTGTAAAATGGTTTAATGATACCAGCCCTGCAGGGTTGTTACCTGCTGTCTCCTCTCCCAGAAACTTCAGCTTTTGTCTGCGGTGGTCACTCCTGCATTCCTGGGGCCTAGGAACAAATCTGACACACAGCACATAAACATATTTTATTATTGACTTACTTAGAAGAAAGTACAAGTGTAAATCACCTGACAATCTCTGTTCAAAAAAAAAAAACAAAACTATTCTCTTCAGAGAATATCCTATCCTTTCCCACCATTTTTCCTGTTTTTTGGTTTGTGGGTGTAATGCTAGTCTAGCATTCATCTTTCAGTGGAGCACTCGTCCCTCCAACTGTATTCCAGAATACATTTTGAACCTCCTCTGGCCATCCACACACACTTTCCATCTTCTGGTAACTGCAGCCAAGTGGTAAATTATCCATTTAAATTATGGATTATTTTAATGTTGCTTTAAATGAATTCAATCACCAACCACTCTTGTCCAGATCCTAGAAGCACATGACGCTTCAAAGGGACATGTCAGTATTTCTTGGTAGGAACAAGGAATGGGGATGTTGTCGTAAACATCTCTTGATTTCATTTAGGGAACTACCTTTCCCACAGTAGACCATGGTTTTGATTCAGGTGTGGCTGGGGTTCATGAAATCATTACAGTTCTTAGCAGCCCCTCCCCACCCCAGTTAGTTCAGGAATGGATGAGTAATCCAATCAGATCAGTCAGCTGGTAATTCTAGTCCTGCCGTTAGGCCGACCAGAGGTGTGCTCATTTCCTCTGACTAGTGGGTTCCTGAGCCAGGGCAGCCATCTTGTTTCTAGAGGGAGGAGGCAGCCTTAGTGGATCCAACCTACAGGGAGGGAGAGAGCTGAGAGATGGGAAATAAAGAGCCCTGAAACTCTTGTCTAATAAGCCCTGAACCCAGTTCTACTTTTGTAATTCCCTAATAACATACATTCAGTAACACTTCACCCAATTTGCCTAAGCAACTTGAGTTGGGTTTTTTTCCCCGTCATTTGCAAACAGAAAAATTCCGGGGCGCCTGGGTGGCTCAGTCAGTTAAGCATCCTACTTTGGCTCAAGTCATGATCTCACAGTTTGTGAGTTCATCCCAACGTCAAGCTCTGGGCTGACAGTTTAGAGCCTGGAGCCTGCTTTGGATTCTGTGCCCTCTCTCTCTGCCCCTCCCCTGCTCATGCTCTGTCTCTGTCTGTCTCTCTCTCTCTCAAAAGAAATTTAAAAATTTAAAAAACACTAAAAAAAGAAAAACTTCCAAACACAAAAATTACTCTGACACCGACTTTCTCAGTACCTCAAACTGAGAACCATGGCCCTGAGTTTTCTTCTGATTCTCAAATTCACCCGTTACCTATTCACTAAGTACTGTTTTTTTCAAGGAAAAAATATTACTTACAGCCAGGCATTAATATATATGTATAAGAATTAATACTGTAGGGGTGCCTGGGTGCTTCAGTCGGTTAAGTGACCAACTTCAGCTCAGGTCACCATCTCCTGGTTTGTGAGTTCAAGCCCCACACTGGGCTCTGCACTGATGGTGAAGAGCCTGCTTGGGATTCTCTCTCTGCCCCTTTCCCACTTGTGCTTCCCCACTTCAGTCTCTCAAAATAAATAAATAAACTTGGAAAAAAAAAAGAATTCATACTTTAAATATTGTGATTGACTTCAAGTATCCAAAGGAAAACCTAATAAGAGCCTGGCCCATAGCAATAGTTCATTACCTGCTTGGTTCAGTGCCTGTCTTGGCAGGAGGCAGATGGCACTCTCAACAAAGAGTTAACTGAAGAGGTAATTATTTAGAGAGGCGCAGGCAGGGCTAAGGAAACCCACTTGGGAAGAGGTTACTCTTGGTGGTGGGGTGGTGGCTGCGGCGCTTAGACCCAATGAAGCAAGGAAGGGAGGAGGGTTATCAGAGGCAGCCAGATGCTAAAAACAGAGGCCACTAGGGCCTTAGGTAGAGGAACTGCAGCTGCCCAGTTGTGGATGGGAAGCAGGGATGGTTAAGGGTGGAATAACTGTGCTAATCTCTCTTCCCACAGTCCCATCTTATAATGGTGACTTCTATTGCCTGAAAGCCACTGGAAAACCCAAGGACAGGAGAGCTGAGTGGTGCAAAATTAGAGGTGAGCTTCCCAGCGACAGAGTAGAGCAGAAAAGACCAGAAAACGGATTCAGGGCTGTGTTAACCAATAAAGCCGCCACTGGACAAACAGCTATCTGAGTCCAATTTTTTTTTTAAACAGGAAGTCTATATTTCTTTATGTTTATTTATTTTTGAGAAAGAGAGAGAGGGAGACACAGAATCCAAAACAGGCTCCAAGCTCTGAGCTGTCAGCACAGAGCCTAACATGGGGCTCGAACTCACGAGCCATGAGATCATTACCTAAGTCGAAGCCTGATGCTTAACAGACTGAGCCACCCAGGCACCCCTATTTGAGTCCAAATTAACACGTGCTGTAAATGTAAAATACATGCTGGATTCCCAACACTTAATATATTAAAAAAAAATGTAAAATATCTCATTTTTATACTGATTATATGTTGAAATGATACTTTTTTGATGTATTGGGTTAAATATATTATTAAAATTAACTTAGGAGTGCCTGCCTGGCTCAGTCTATAGAGCATCTAACTCTTGATCTCTGAGTCATTAGTTCAAGCCCCACATTGCATGTAGAGATTACTTTAAAAAAAAAAAAAAGAATAATTATAAAAGCTTTCCATTTTAGATACCTGGCTGGCTCAGTTGGTAGAGCATGCGACTCTTGATCTTGGGATTGTGAGTTCAAGCTCATGCTGGGTGTACAGATTACTTAAAAATGATAATAAATAAATAAAAATAAATAAATGGGGGCACCTGGGTGGCTCAGTCATTTAAGCTTCCGACTCTTGATTTTGGCTCAAGTCATGATCTCATGGTTGGAGGGTTTGAGCCCCACATCAGGCTCTGCACTGACAGCTCGAGCCTCCTTGGGATTCTCTGTTTCCCTCTCTTTCTGGCTGTCCCCTGCTCGCTCGCTCTCTCTCTCTCTCTCCCTCCCAAAAATAGACATTTTTTAAAAATAAAAAAATAAAAACTCATTTTAGTTCCATTCCCTTGACAGTTATTTGAAAATAGTGTTTCTGAGGGCAGCTGGGTGGCTCAGTCAGTTAAGCATCTGACTTCGGCTCAGGTCATGATCTTGTGGTTACTGAGTTTGAGCCCCACATCGGGCTCTGTGCTGACAGCTCAGAGCCTGGAGCCTGTCTTCAGATCTGTGTCTCCCTCTCTCTGACCCTCCCCTGCTCGTGCTGCCTCTCTCTCTCAAAAATAAATAAAACATTTTTAAAAATTAAAAAAAAAAGAAAAGAAAATAGTATTTCTGATACTTTTTAAAAATGTTTTATTTATTTTTGAGAGAGAGAGAGACAGAGCATGAGTGGGGGAGCGGCAGAGAGAGAAGACACAGAATCCAAAGCTGGCTCCAGGCTCTGAGCTGTCAGCACAGAGACCAACACAAGGCTCGAACTCACGAACTGCAAGATCATGACCTGAAGAAAAGTTGGATGCTTAAGCGACTGAGCCACCCAGGCACCCCTCATTCTGATACTTATATCATTTAAGCTTCTTTTTTTAACCTAATTGCTTTAATAGCTTGATAGCTTTTCTATGGGTTTTTTTTTTGAAATATAATTCCCTGAAACAGTTTTTTGGATCCTATTACGTACTTAACACTTACTCATGCGAAAAGCATTTATTAGGTACCTTCTATTTTCCAAATGCTGAGATGGATTTGGAGGACAAAATAGCCCAAAGAGAGCCTCGGGCTGCTGCCATCATGGAGCTAAGTTCTAATACAGGGGGAACTAGAGAAAGAATCACACAAGCAGTTGTGAAATTATTTATGGGGGAAATTATCTAGAGAAGAAAATGATGCCTGAAGAATATATCATAGGAGAGAGTGGCCTGATTACATAAACCAAGGAAGGCTTCCCAAAAGAAGATACGATTGAGAAAAAGCAGCAGGGCAAAATCTGTGAGAGGCATGAGAATGTTCCTGGAAGAAGGTACAGAATGTGTAAAGTTCCTCATACTATATATGTGTTTATTCATATATCAACAAGAATACCAAGTGCCTACTAAGTGCTTGCAAAGAAGCAAGGCGAATCAGTCACAAATATTTCACAGCTGTGAAAAAGGATGAGTTCACACCATTTATGACAACATGGATGGACCTAGAGGGTATCATGCTATGTGAAATAAGCCAAACTAAGAGAGACAAATAGCATATGATTTCAATCATGTGAAATCTTAAAAACAAACAAATGCCCAAATGAATAAAAAGCAAAACCAAACCTGTAAATACAGAGAATGAATTGGTGGTTGCCAGAAGAAAAGGGGTGAGGGAAGTGCAAACTGAGTGAAGGGAAGTGGGAGATACAGATTTCCAGTTATGGAATGAGTAAGTCCCGGGAATAAAAGGTACAGTGTAAGGAATAGAGTCAAAGATAACTATTGCCTATAGTGCCAGAAGGTAGCTACACTGGGGGTGAATATCGCTTAATGTATAAGCTCTTGGAATCACTATGTTGTATTCCTGAAACGAATGTAACATTGTGGGTCAACTACACTCAAAAAGGTTTTTTTGCTTTGGATTCTCATTCTCCCTCCCTCCCTCTGCCCCTCCACTATTCTCTCTCAAAATAAATAAACTTTAAAAAAATGAGTACTTACTATGTTTCTTTGTGGCAGGCTCAAAGAGCTGCTACAATGCTACATTAGAAGTATGGACACCAGGGGTACCTGGGTGGCTCAGTCGGTTCTGTGTCCAGCTCTCGGTTTCAGTTCAGGTCATGATCTTGTGGTTCGTGAGTTCGAGCCCCATGTTGGGCTCTGTGCTGACAGTGTGAAGCCTGCTTGGGATTTTCTCTCTGTGCCTCTCTCTCTGCCCCTCCCACCTTCAAAATAAATAAACTTTAAAAAAGAAGGAGGAGGGGGGGGGAGGGGGAGAAGAAGGAGAAGTAGTATATATACCTTTACCCTCGTCCACATAGATTACATGTGGCAACTGGACTTTTTATTTTCAAGGGGAGAGGGGCTCTTGTCCCTGAAAAGGAATAATTAATTAACTCTGGTGTTTTGATTAATGTTAATCAGTTTCAAATTCTTGAATCCAGTTTTTCTGGTATGTTTAAGCTAAGCTTCTAATCATTGTCATCTTACTCTCTAAAAATCTAATGTTTCTTAATAAGATCAGTAATTCTTCCTGTCCTTAGGTAAATCTTAAATAGACTTAGAAGTTTGGGGCTCCTGGCTGGTTCAGACAGTAGAGCAGCACTTGATCTTGGGTTGTGAGTTCTACCCCCACATTGAAGGGAGAAATTATGTAAAAATAACATTTTTTAAAAAGGTGATAGAATCAGAAATTAATCAGAATTTCCCTAAACCTTATTCACACACTTGACTGATTTAATTCCTTTAAATATATCCAGCAACATTTAAGTTAATTTTTTTCATATTTATTCATTTTTGAGGGGGGGAGGGGCAGAGAGAGAGGGGGACAGAGGATCTAAAGTGGGTTGAGCTGACAGCAGAGAGCTTGAACCTATAAACCGTGGGGTCATGACCCGAGCTGAAGTTGAACACTCAACCAACTGAGCCACCCAGGAGCCCCAACACATCTAATTATCTGAAACATTGCAAAGGTCTATTACAGCAGACTGAAAATTCTAACAAGCAAGATCTCCAGTTTTCATGGATTGAAAGGCTTTAATATTTTTAAACTAGCAAGACTACCTAAAACAGTTTATGGATTCAACGTAATCCCTATCAAAATTCCAAAGACCTTTTTTGCAGAAATGGAAAAGCCAATCCTCAAATTCATATGAATTTGCAAGAGGCCCCAAGTAAATAAAAATAATATTAAAAAATAACAAAGTTGGAGGACTCACCATTCCTAATTCCAAAACATACTACAAAGCTTTGGTTACTCAGTTGATTATAGTATTAGCACAAGAATAGACATATAGACCAATGGAATAGAATTAAGAGTCTGGAAATAAACCCATGCATTTACAGGCAGCTGATTTTTGGCAAGGGCCAAGATTATTCAGTGAGGAAAGAATAGTCTCTTCAACAAGTGATGTGACAACGATATCCACAAGCAAAAAAACAAAAACAAAAATGTTGAAATCCTACCTCACATTGTATTAAAAAAACTGTGAATGCATCAACGAGCTAAGTATTAGGTCTAATACCACAAAACTCTCATACGAAAACATAGGGCTAAATCTTCAAGATCTTGGATTTGGCAATGGATTCCTAGATACGACACCAAAAGTACTAGCAACAAGAAAAATAGTTGAATTGAAGTTCGTCAAAATTAACAATATTTGTGCACTGAAGGGCATTATTTAAAAAGTGAAAAGGCAGCCGCTGTGTAATAAAGAATTTGTCTGGTCAGTGTTCCGAGTTCCTGACACTGAGCTTCTAAAACCCTTGGAATTTCCTGAGCAGCCACATGATTAGATGGTTAGGATTTAGAGCCAGGCCCTACCTACTACTGGGAAGAAAGGGATGGGGGTGGGAGCTGATGATCCAGTCCTGTAGCCAGTGACTTAAACAATTAAACCTATGTAAACAAACTCCGATTAAAAACTCTACACTGAAGCTCAGTGGAGCTTCCTGATTGGTAAATATATTGATGTACTTGAAGAGTGATGCACTGTGATTCTATGATTCTGTGTTGGGGATCCTCCCAGACATTCCCTTAGGCATTTCCCTAGTTTGTTCCTCCTGACATATATATATCATATGTTTCATTTATTTATTTGTAAGCAATCTCTACACCCAACATGGGGCTCGAATTCAGGGCCCCAAGATCAAGAGTCACATGCTCTACTGACTGAGCCAGCCAATAGCCTCATGACCTATATATAGACCTCTCTATAATAAAAATGGAACTGCAAATAGAGAGGTTTCTTGAGTTTTGTGAATCAGTCTTGTGAATTACCAAACCCAAGGTGTCATGGAAACCCCCACATTTGTAGCCACGTGTTTGAGAGTGCAGGTAGCCTGGAGACGTCCAGATACTGAGGCTGGTGTCTGATGTGGAGTCATTCTTGTTGGGAACTCTGCCCTTAAACCTAGGGTTTCTGATGCTAACTTTGAGTGTCTGGTATCAGAGTGAATTGTAGCAACCTGTGTTGCAACAGGTTGGGGTTGAAATGGAA